GATTACCAAGGATTTCCGAAGATTACCACTGACAAAAGATTACTAGAGATTACCAAAGATTGCCATTGATTACCATTGATTACCACAGATTACCAGTGATTACAAGGGATTACCACTGATTACCAAAGATTACCAGTGATTACCAAAGATTTCCAGGAATTTTCTTGCTAGATTACTTAGTGATAACTGGGGACAACCTAGTGATTACCAAAGATTTCCTGGTAATTACCAACGATTACTTGGTGATTACCAACGATTACCTAGTGATTACTTTGGATTACCCGCGATTACCAGGGATTACTGGCGATTACCAATGATTACCGGCGATTACCAAGGATTACTGGCGATTACCAAGGATTACTGGCGATTACCAAGGATTACTGGCGATTACCAATGATTACCGGTGATTACCAGGGATTACCTACTCTGTGTACACCTGATTACCTTAGTTGGGCACCCCTCGGTTATGTTTGAGTGCATGTTTTTGTCTCGATGTTTTTGTGGTCCTGTAAATTTAAAAAAATGCAGTTTTTTTAGCGGGAGATTTCATGTACTACACGGTAAAAATAATATCTTGTAATCCTAGAATATTCAATGAAATTCAAGTGAAAATTACTTGGATTTCAAGCAATCTACTTGAATTAACAGATATAATTTTTACCGTGTATTTTGGCTGGCCCTTCAAAATTGTATCTGGGTGGTGGAAATAAAATTATTCGAAACTAGAAAGAACAGAGAAACGTGTTCTTCTATTCAATTCAGATGCTTTTTGTTTGTTTTCTAAGGTGACCCTGAAAATTTCAGGTGGTTCATATCAATCCGTCGATGAGGTATCGTGCGGTCAAAACAAAACAGTTTTTTTTTTTGTTTTGTTTTTTTGGATTGTCTGCTTGCTTGTATAGCACGCACGATAACTCAACTGTGTACTTACACGCTATAAATGTATTTGTAATGTTTTTGTGCAAATGTTCTCGCTAATATACGTTTCGTTTACTACGAATTTGTGCGCAAAATGCATGATTTCGTACAGCGGAATGCACAAAAATGTTGAAATTAACGCGGAAATGTGTCCAAAAAATTTGATAGCTAAAATCCGTGCGAATGAAAGGTATAAATCCAGTAGTGAATAGTACACGCAAAAATAGCGTTTGTGAAAGCACGCAAGATAGTGTGAACTTGCTATAGCCATTATGGCGTGGTCCGTACACAGTTTCTTGCGCGTGCTTCCGACAACACTCTTCCTCGTGTGCACTTACACTGCCATGTTTGCATGGTGAGCAGTAGTGAAGTGACCGATTGTGGGGTTAAACTACTCCGGATGCAATCCTAAAAAGAAGCAGTTATGCCTCGGTCAATGCCCGAATCATTTCACTTTTTACTCTGTTGGCTGCACAAGTAAAGGGCGAACAGGGCAGCCAGTTCGCATTAAGCCTCCTGGCATCAGATGCTCGCTGGAGCCGAGTCCGTCATGCTCCGTCCCGTGTGGCTGCTCCTGGTGCTCCCGGTGTGCCCCCGGGCTCAGTGGATCAGTAGCTCGATTGCGGTATTGCGAGATAGGTCAGGCCGTTGTACAGAATTAAGGCCTATGTCGTCACTTGATAAAATTGGCTATGATCGCAATTTATCGC